GTTGTGTGAGGCACTCGTTGTGCGAGGCACCACTGTACTTTCTAACTGTTGTGAAATTTTCTTTTCATGAAAAAAAAACCCCTAATCTCCAGTGTTACTAGTTATGCTTCCTTTCAGAAGAGTCTGTAAAAACACAATGGTTTATTGTTCACAGAGAATCTTACTGCTGTATGGCTAAAAATAGCTAAAATGCTAGAACCTTGAGAAGTCCTTTGATGCTAAAAGTTGAATTGATTATAGAAATCCATATTTATCTTTGCTCTGTTTCCTTATTAAATAGTCTATACGAACAAAAAATGTGGGGATACAATAGTTTTCTGCAAACTGCTTTCCCAGCTGTGGGAATATTTGTTTCTGATACTTTTCCTTCACCTCGTACCTGAAAAAGCAGCTTACACTGAACAGAAAGGACCTGGGGGGGCAGGGAAGGGTTGGTCAAACTCTCTCTGCTTGACCTTTTTCTTTTAGGTGAGCCTGTGCAGAACTGCTGTGGTGTAAAAGAAACATGGAAATTCTGTTTAGCATATAGTATGAGCGGTGTACGTATGTGCATATGAAGCAGGCAGTAAACAGTATCCCTGGAACTGTTGCCCTTGCTTAGGACGATATTTGTATCCCACATAATTCTAAAAATTAAAAACAACAAATGTATGCATATTTAAAAATAATATTCTTTGAAATATTGTAATATTAATATTCCTTCACATAGGTGTGAGAGAGAATCTCTGACGATATAAGAATTGGTTTCTGTGGCTCTTTTCTTAGGCTGGGACTGTTAACCGTGGCAGTGAGGTGATTGCGGCTGGAATGGTTGTGAATGACTGGTGTGCCTTCTGTGGAATGAACACAACAAGTACTGAGTTTTCTGTTATTGAGAGTGTCTTCAAACTCAATGCCGCACAGCCAAGTACCATTGCTACTACTATGAGAGATTCTTTGATTGATAGGTAAGTCAAACTTTCTTTTGTTCTCAAATCAAACAAATTCACGGAGGAGGGCAGCATGCTGGATTTTTATTTTGCAAAACAGTTTTTCTGTGTGAGCTTGGAAAATATAGGAGTGTTGACTTTCTTTAGTCTTAATAATTTTTTTTCTGTCTGGTGTCATTTCCAAAATATCAGCTTCACTCACCAAATTACCAGATTCAATGGGCCTAATCTAGGGCAACTTACTGCAATAAGCAACAGGATTTCTGCCATCATGTTTTCCTGTTAACTTATAGAATAATTGGAGGCAATAAATACAGTGAAATGCCATTGGAGTACATGTACTTGCGTGGCATGTCAGATCTCCTGAGCAGGGTGAGAATGCTATTGTTGTACATAGAATGGTTTTTCTTCTTCTAGTTCTAGCCAGCATTTCAACATCTGATTAGTAACTTATTGCATTTGTTCTTGTCAACATTTCTCTGTATTTTTCCACCAGCACTAAGCAGAAAACCTGCTCTGCACATGCAAAGTTCTGGTCGCAACTAGAACCAAATGAACAGAAACACAAACTGCAGGTGCACAGCACCAATCTAGCACTGTGCAGCTGCACAATTACACAGACTAGAGGGAATGTTGATTCTAGTATTCATGGCAGGCTTCCAGTTCTCACTTGAATCTTCTCTGATATTTAGAGGACACCCATAAAAATAAGGCAGCCTTGCTGGAACCTTATAAGCATTTTCAGCTAACATTCATTTCTGTTTCTTTTATAGTTTGACATGATGTACTCCTTTGCTGCTGCAGACGTTCTTCAGTAGTGAAGTCCCATACCACAATCTTGCCTGGCTCCTGAAGTGAATGCTTTGTTTTGTATTCCTGGAGCAGGAGAGCTGTGTTACAATCAATGTTTCAAAACCACATTCTTGTAAACTTCTTTTGAATGAGAAAACATTAGTATGTTCCTTTTAGTTCTTCTGTAAAGCAGCCTTTCCCCCCACTTGTTCATGAAATGATAAATATAACTTTATGGGAGAATGTTTAAAAAGCAGGTGTTATTATATGCAGTGATGATTTAAACACCATTTTCACCTTTATCTGCCTGTATATTGTCTGAATAATTATCCTTTCTTGCTCAAGAGTGGAATGAAATCTGTTTACAATAGCTTCTACATATCCAACAGACCAGATTAACCTACCCGGATGCTTGTATTATTATCTTGCATCCATATAGAGGTCAGCAGTTTTAAAGAACTGAAAGAAGCCATACATTCTAAATATCAGTGGTCCATACCTATGCAGGAAAGTCTTGTCAAGGTTTCTAGTTCTGTATGCTTAAATAACTGGGAAACAAAAGGGTGCTATTTCTCTTATTCAGTAGTAAATTCACTAGAAGGTTAAGAATCTTAACTGAGAGAACAGTTACTTACATGCATATGTTTGAAAGATCTATTGTACCATTTACTCTGCTACCTGTATCTTAAGCACCACATCTCTAGTTAACTGCTCTGCTTTCTCGTTGTCACATGGGGCTTTAAACATTCTTAGGACTACATGGATGGGGTGTCAGTGAAGTGGCTTACCAGTTAAAGCCCCTATAAATTATTTAAGCCAAAATAATTTAAGAATGTTAGATAATGCTTTCTGTATTTGAGGTGATAGCTGCTTCAAACGTGAAGAAGCTCTTAATGTGTCCATCAATCTGAACATCAGCTTGAAAGATTTGGTTAAGGTCCTCCTTGTTACTGTGTTTGCCTCTCAGTTTATCACTCATCCCTTCTCCAGATTGTTATATGCCATCAAATCGGAACTTATAGTTAGCTTAACAGAGTTTTCTAGATAAATGATTTAAGGAGTGGTTTTATCAGTTCCACTCCCTCAGTGAGTTTCCATGGTTGAAACTGAGGTCTCCAGAGTCCTAGTCTACCACTCTATCTACAACACCACACTGGGTACTGTTATCACACTAGCAGACCATTCTCCATTGAGTTTGTAGTCTCTACTAAAATTACCTTCTCTGTAATGAGCATGGTGATGATCTAGGCACACTCTGACCTATTTGCAGCTGTCTGAAATGAACATGTATTCAGATGGGTGGATGATGTTGAACTGGAAGTTGACAGTGATGTCACATACTTTCAGTCTTCACTACTTTTTATGCTGTTCTCAAAATATGTTGTTTTTATATATTGATGCTCTTGAGAGTAGTGACAGTTATGCCTTTGCCTGAGATAACAATTCACTGAATTTGGTCTCGTTAGCTTCAGTGATATAAGACTATAGGATAACAATGAAGAGGAATAATTTGGGAGTAACATCGTCATAAAATTCTCTCCTGTAGCTGTAATACCTTCCTGCTGACAAGACACACAACTTTCAGCAGCCATTTAAAAAAAAAATTAAGTGTGAAGCTGCTGTTTACAAAGTGTTAGAGGGATTTGACTCAGAGTTTAGCGACAGTAAAACAATGATACAACTACTTCATTTTTCCCCGATTTCCTTAGGGGAAAAAACAACCATTGGTAGCAGCTCTTAAATATGTTTGATTGTGCCAACCAATTATTACCAAAGACCTCAAGAACAAGTGCATTTTATAACCATCAAAGAGATCAAGTATGCGAAAAGTATCCTGAATGTGGAATGTAGGGAGAGAAAAAATCACACTGTATCCTAGCTGTGGGACCCAGGTTTAGGTGACATTACAATGGTGACTCGCATTACGACGTTAATTTGTTCCAGCAAAATCGTTGTAGAACAAAAATGTTGTAAAGCGAAATTTAAAAGCCCATAGAAACGCATTAAACCCCGTTTAATGCGTTCCGATGGGCTGGAAACTCACAGTCCAATGAAGATCCTCCATAGGGCAGCCATTTTCACTGTCTGTGCAGTGAGGAATCCATCCCAGAAAACAGCGGGGGGCCATTTTGTTTACCCGGTGGCCATTTTGGAACCGCCAATCAGCTGTCTGAAAATCATCGTTTTGTGAAGAATCGGTTCCCGAAGCAGGGAACCGATCATCGCAAAGCGAAATTCCCCCATAGGAAACATCGTAAAGTGATCGCAAAAAGTTCGTCGTAATGCGGTTTCGTCGTTAAACGGAAGGATCGAAAAGCGAGGCACCACTGTAGTAACAAGTGATTATTTTCCACTTGCTACTCTAACTTTAAACAAAAATAATCAACCTTTAATACCACAGAACCAATAAATTTACATTTTAAGGCACTGACAAATTTACTGGAACATTAATAAAGCTAGTCAAGTAGGGTTTTTTTTTTAAATGAGAATTTGGAAACGAATGTGAATTAAGTGTCATGGCAGACATTTATTTTTAAAATGCATTTTGACAAGTTTGTGATTCTTGGGCAGGGATTGTAAACTGCTTTAATAAATGTATGGCATCAACATAATGAACATTTGATCTTTGCCTGTACCACAGCATCACTAGACGTAATCTGTAAATTGTCATGTGACTTTAGATCAAACCACTTCATAAATTTTGAATTTGACCCAAAGGTTATGGGGATAGAAAGCTAGGACAAATCAAAGATGTAGTACCATTGTCAGATTAAATTGAACATACTAGAATAAAACCAGGATTTCAAAAAAGTACAAGATCAATATGAAATATTGTTGAACCCTATCGTTTATAAAAACATTCTATCCTTATCAGGTAACAGTTGATCTCAGTGAGTATGTTGAATTAGTCGTTTCCCCCTAAATAAAACAGCGAAAACTGAACTACTGTTTGGTTCGGGAAGTTAAGCATTGCAATTAGTTCTGCAGGTAAATAACATTTTTAGTATATTCTAAGCAGATGTTTTCAGTTTGCAGTATTATGCTGTATAAAAGGGCTTTTTGTTTCTTTAAGATTTTCCATTCTTAGAGTGGTGAGAGGTTTAACATGAGATGTAACTACAGACCCCATCTAAGAGCTGTTACAGAAAGGTCTACCCGTGATGATACCTTTCTGTTTTGTATCCACAGGGCTTCCATTTACCTGGCATGCTTCCCACACTTACACTTCCCAAACCCAAAACCTGGAGCTGATGCAGATTATACAGATGTTTATGGAAAAAGTACACCTTTGAGCCTGCTAGGATTTCAAAACCTGAGATGGAGTTCCCCTGTCATTCACCAGTAGGAGTGTTCCACCTGAATCATTAAAGCAAAAATGTATTTTAAAAATCTGTAAGTTGGTACAAAATATAGTTATGCCATTCTTAGACTGTGAATCCAATATGATCACCAAGTTTCATTTTTGAAGCCTGTTGAAATCATTAAAAGCTTTATATACCAGTGCCAAACATATTTTACTCGGCCCAGCTCTTTAAAGGCCTTGCAGTGGTACAGTTAGATGTAGGTACTGAAAATCAGACTTGAATGTTGCTAGAAAAATGGAAAGGGGTGTGAACAATAAGCAGCATTGCATTCTTGTTTCTTAATTGTACAAGGCCCTGTTCTCACAGCCTGCTGAGTTCTAATAACATAATGAAATACTGTTCCAGACTAAAATCATTATGGCCTGTCTGAAAAAAACATCTGGGTGCCATCCACTAGAAGCTTGCTGGGCACACAGTCTCTGTGGTGGTCTTTAATCTGCAAAAATCTTCCAGAAATATCTACTAATTCCTCATTTGGGAACTAAAACTGGGATAGTTCTAGACATTACAAAGGCACCATGCAGCCCGCAGACCTTTGGTAGCTCTGTAATGCTATTATGGAGGGTTGGGATGCCAGTGGGAGGGAACAGAATAATCTTTTCCTCAGCTGTTTTCTGCAGACTCTTGCCTTGTGTAATTTAAATTCATTTCTCCACTTCCTTGGAAGTGGATCTAGCCAGGGGAGAACAGCCTGGGGAAGATATGTAGAACAAGGCATTGGCTAGACACCTGCTCTTTCTGCAATGAGGACGGTACACTCCCATACTTTTGAGATGGTTGGGATGACATGTTGGCTGATGCAGTAGATAAACTCATTGTAGCAAATATATGCAAATGGATATAAAGATGCCATGATCTTAAGACCACTTTGCATGTTGGACACTACTTGTTGCAGGAGCCTCAATGCAGATTATCATGTGCAACCATCTCAACATGACGAACACATGTAAGATTCTTCTGCAATCTCCAGAAATCCTGGGCAGCAGAGCTCGTGGTGAAGGCTTCTGGGAACTGCAGTCCCAGAACACCTGGGTTACTCAAGGTTGGGAAACACTGTCATATAACTTGAACAACATAGGATTCATACAACTATCTACATGAGATAGGTTTCATTTAGAAATTCTGAGTATAATGGCAAAAAGGAAATAAAAAGCCTACCATATCCATGTCTTCTCAGAGATAAGTCCCTTAGAGTTCAAAAGGGCTTACACACAGATCAGTGAGTTTACAATTGCTGCATTAGTTTGTCAACTCTGAAGAAAACTGAAATAATTAAGGTTTTCCTATTTATGGAAAATCAAACTGGGCACCAAGATTACAACAAACAAATATCTTACATGGTACCAATTGAAGCAAAAACATGCAATTTCCCTCTCTTTAGCAATGCATTCATGTGTAGCATTATGGCAAGCATTAACAACTGAGATATTGAAAAATATTGGGCTCAATCTGTAGAATGGGGTATGGATGGGGATGGGTAACGGTAAATGTCCTGTGTGCCTTCTGCCTTCAAAATACCTCTTGTGAGAGCAAGAGAATGGTGCTGAATGATGTGACAGATGAAAGGAAAGAGATACTGTCAAAAATAGGGCGGCACAGGAGCCTGTCAGCAGGGTCAACCAACTCCTGGAAGAGGCATTTGGAGGGGCTGCTGAAATGAAGAGTGGGTAAGAAAAGTACCTTTTGCCAATCCCATTCTGCAAACTAGAGCCAACCAATACTTTCACCTTTTTGTTTGCTTTTGTTTCCAATTAAATTAACAGCTCCTTTTCATTTGTGTTAGATTATCACGTTTTATATTGCAAGTTTCGGCATAACTTTCCTGATTTATGTCCACGCTTTGCGACAACTTTCATGACTCCATGAGAAATCTTAATTGCAGTGTTGCTGAAAAACACTTCCTAAGGAAAGCACCACTTATTTTTCTGACATAAAAATATCATAAAATAGACTCTTCAGTCTTATAATAGTAACAATTTATTGTTGCCAAATTAAAATAGTGGTAATATGACATTTAACTATTCATTACATGACAGGTTCTTGAAAACAAGAGCATTAAGGTCTGCATTAACATTATTTGTGTTAAACCCAATTGCTTAGTCTTCCAGACTGTGGTTGAATTCTGAAATTTTTGTTCTGTCAGTTGAGGTCGTGATTTGACCTGGCTTTAGAGCTGTTTTGAAGTTGTGGTCTACACAGAATTACCTCCTAAGAGCTCCCTATGTGCATCTGCAGTTGCAGAGTGGGAACATCAGCTAATTACCATGAATGTACAAAACATCTGACCAGCAGGTATTGGAAAAATGATATCCAGGTAATTGCCTGGTCCCTGTAATAAATTAAAATCCTTTCAGAACGACTCAACCTCAACATGTTTTCTTCAGTCAGTACTGAAGCACTTCTTTTGTGTCCAAAAGAATTATATTTTTAATGAGACAAGTGTAGAAAAGAAAACGGCTTGTCGAGAGATGGTTGGCTACACTGGCAAATGCTGGGTTTAAAAGAGGGCACTGAAGAAGATTGCTCAGGTGAACTGAAAAAAAGTTGAAGCAAACTCCTCTTGAGGTCTCGGACACTCATTGAGTGGGTTGGTGAAAAATGTCACACTGAGACATACACGGCACTGAGGCAGTCCGTCAGAAGGAAAGTAGCTCTACCGTGCAAGGCCACCTGGGTTTTGTTGGTTTTTGTTTTTTCCGTCCCAGAATTCTGACTCATCCAAGTGTCTTGAAGAGTTTTGTTTGTTTGGCAGACTATCCTTTATTCCCCCCTTTTTTTATGTCTGCAGCTCATCATCATCACATGTGAACCCAAATGAGCTGCTGAGCTTGTCATACCCATTCTTGGACAGGCCGTCTGTAGTAGGTCACAGTTTGCTGGACCTCTTTGTTCTTGAACTGGAAGATTGTGTAAACCAGAACAAGGATGCACAGAGATAAAATGCAGGGGATCACGACTGCAATTGCATTGACGGTGCTAGGCACATCGTTTATAGTCACCATAATATCCACATCATCATGAGAAAGGTGCCGGTCTTTGCTTCGTTCAACCTCTTTTTGGTTACACCCCATCCAGTCTTTGAGAATTGACCTGGGGTACCCTGGTTCCACAGTGAGCCTCTGGTTATCAAACTTCCAATATTCTTTCCCTTTGTAAAAGTAGGTATAAACTGGAGGGAAAAGCACAGATTATTCTTTTCTGTTCCATTCACAAATGAAAAAAGTATGCAGGCAAGTGTTTAATATTGACGGCTATACAGTGGACCCTCTACTTACGGAATTAATCCGTATTGGAACGGTGGCTGCAAGTCGAAAAGTCTGTAGGTCGAATCTCCATTGACCTACAATGCACTGAAAACCTATTAATCCGATAACTGGCAGTTTTTATTCTATTTTTGTTCCATTTTGGTTTTTTTCTGGTCTGTAAGTCGATTCTCCGGCTGCAAGTCGAATCTAAATTTTGCGGCCAGAGAAGTCTGTAACTTGAAAAGTCTGTAAGTCGAGCCGTCTGTAAGTCGAGGGTCCACTGTAATGGAAATACAGACAACCTTGATAACAAAGCTGAAAATGACTAGAAAATGACCAGCGCTTCTCTATTCCACTGAATAAGAAGAAGCAGGAAAATGGGAAGAGAATAAATGCTTATGATTTCACAGAAAAACCTAATACATTTAAATAAAACCAATCATCCAGTTGGGAAGCACACTGTGCAATAGAATGGAAAGATCTGGGTGGCCTCTGTGTTGCCTTGGGAAGGACTATGCTGCATGGACAGGTTTCTGCCCACCATCACACTTTTTTTAATGCAAACAAAATACAAAGCTCAAGAAAAAGAGGAAAGTGTTCAATGCTATTAAACTGATAAATAACGAATAAAGCTGGCACTTACATCCTTCTTTGCTGACAAAAGCTCCTTGTGGGGCTTGAGGGATCCCTTTCCATATAGTGATTGGTTTGGGGTAGCCTGGATCTGTGGCTCTCTTGTCTTCATTATATCTCCAATATCGGTCTCCTTTGAAGAAATATGTTTTGCCTACAGGTTCCCATCGTAAAGCTGTGTCAATCCCTTCTCGAGGAAGACAGCTGCCCAGCTCTACCAGGCTGTGTGGGTACCCTGGCTCTGCAGTCACCTCCTTAAAGACCCAGTATTTATCCCCTAGAGAAGAAATGAATAAATTACTGGATGTTATTACCAGCTTTTGACTTTTTTCAGTCAATTGGCTCCTTTTGTTTCCTCCAAGCAGGTTGTGAGGTTTTGCTACACTGTCAGGATGCCACTTATGAGCATATTCATCCAGTACAGAGACCAACTAGATAAAATGAAGGACTGATCAAGGAAATTAAGATAATGGAACCCAAAGATGCACTGTTGGAAGAAAAAGTTGCCATGCATGTGCAGAAAGCAAAAACAGGTAGCATGTCATATGGAAGAAGTTTCACCTTAGCCTTTGCCTTATTTTCATTTTAGTCATGCCCAACCGCTGCAGTGTGGAGTACTTATGTTCAATGTTTCAAAAAGTCAGATGTGCCTTCTTCCCTTGCCATCTTGACTTTTCCTTTTCCCCGCCAACAATCCATAAACATAACATCTCATGCTTGCTACCATCTCAGGACAAAAAACAAAAGGAACCAGTATATCCAACAAATCTGATTATGTAGGAGAAACTGCAGTCTCAAGGTGTAAGAAAATATATAACTCTTTATTTCAATTTAAAATGGCCCAACGTGTTTCAACTTGAATTTATGGACTTGAGGGGCTGTACAAAGAAATGGTAAAACAATACAAAAAAAGGCAACACGTTAAGATTTTTATATTGTTATACTTTTACATTACAGTGCATTTAACCATCCAAAACTACGTTATTCAAAAAGAGTTATGCAGCATATGATTAATCATATTTAATTGACAAATGTAGCCATTACATTTGTATTTCTATCATTATAATGATACATTTATATCATTAATTTCTTCCCTTTTAAAATTTTCTTTTGGTCTGTACCCAGTTCCAAGAGACTGCTTGTAACACAATGGGAGGATGGTTCCCTATGTTATCCCAGCTGTTGCTTAGGGTCACTTTGGTTAATCCACAGACTCCTGGCCTGCAAAGCCTGGGGAATGTATATAGGAAGTGGCAGTTCTCGTGAAGATGGAGAAAATCTCATTCTTAATTTAAACCTTTGCGAGCCAATATATCCAGACAATTTCCCTTTTCAAAAGAGCCTTATAATTGCCTGCACGGACAGCATCTACAGCCCAAAATCAGAACGGCCATTTTTCATGAAATGACTGACGAAAAAGGTTCCTGACTTTTTATTCCTAATGTTGCCAGAGGCTCCCCTATATGTACTTTAAGAGCCCTAGATGTTTTTTCTTTATAGAGTTTGTTACACGGGCATTTGATGGCATATATTATCCAGCTGATGTTGCAACTGGTACATTTTCTTAAATTGTACTTCTTACCACTATGGTAATCAGTCAATGTACCTGTATATTGGCAACAGACGCAATGTCAACAAGGATGGTGACCATGTGGGGGGTGTTGTTCCTACCAAGATGTCAAGGGTCCCTTTTGTCTTTCCCTTAACTCCTAAATCAAGATATCTTCAGTGTTTTATGTTCTTTTAAAAGAAATCATAGGTCCATGTACCAATATTTCTTGATGCTGGCTTGTAATTTGTCATAATGTGGTAAGCTAACTTGATTTACAGGTTCCTTCTTATAAAGTGTGTGGAGTCACTTTATACTCTTAAAAGAGGCCAGTACCTGCCAAGTAGATGGCTTTGATGAAGCTGTTTTCTATAACATGGGCAGAGTAACCCTTATCTCTTAACTGGCTCCTCAACAGCTTTGATTCCCCCAAAATGCTCCTTTCTGGGGGAGTTTCTGTTAATTCCTAGAAACAGACCATGTGGCAAATTACATCATCTTTATGATCTAGGATGAGAGCTATAAAATCTAAGGTATGTGTGGCAATCTCATCATGTAAGTGGGCACAGGACTGCACCTTAGCAGTTCTATAGATTTTATTGTAAATTAATTATTTACTCCTCCCACTCCCTTTTTTATAAGGTTGAAAGCACTGTGACCAAACCACTTACTCAAGGAATTATGTTACGAACTGGAGGATCAAGCTGCCTTTAAGGGGATAGGATTGGACCTTAGCACACACTCTTTTCCCCAGTATGAACCAAGCATATCATCCAGATCCTTTTAGCCAATGTAAAACACTATTCTTTAATCCTCATACATGGTTTAGACGTACTTTTACCTTGCAAGAGATAAGGCTGATAAGTAATCTATGTAGCTGGTTCCATCCCTGATGGTCCCTTGCCTGTCATTATGCAGACTGGTGTTGACCACAGATGCTATGGAAAGCAACAGAGCCTTTTCTTGCCTCTTATAATTCACCATTCAAAGACTACCATCATTCTCAACCTTCCTCATTCATTGCTTCAGTCCTTCTATGTAACTCAGTACAATTCCCAAGCTATCCTAACTGGCCTTGAAACCTCTTGCTTTTCTCCTTTAATACCCATATGAGTCTTTCCTAAGTCCCTCCCCCCTCTCCATGCTGAAATCACTCATCTACTATACTTTGCTGTGCTTCTGCTATAAACTGACAGGGCGCCCTAGACTGTTGCCTATGATTTCTGGGCACAGAATATTTAAATTCCATGATCTGTCACTACTGAGACACCATTTTTATGCTGGACCTCCAATTCCAACACATACTCTTCCCAACTCTGCTTTAACCTTCATTTCCCATAGCTATAAATATGATTTATGGCTAAGGCCTTTCCAGTTTCTCATCAGTCATTCTTTTCTAATACAGTGGTGCCCCACATAGCGACGTTAATTCGTTCCAGAATTAATGTCGCTATCCGGAAACATCGCTAAACGGAATGGAAAACCCCATAGGAATGCATTAAACGGGGCCAAAACCATGTAACTCATTACAATTCCCAAGCTATCCTAACTGGCCTTGAAACCTCTTGCTTTTCTCCTTTAATACCCATATGATTCTTTCCTAAGTCCCTCCCCCCTCTCCATGCTGAAATCACTCATCTACTATACTTTGCTGTGTTTCTGCAATAAACTGACAGAGCTCTCAAGGGCGCCCTAGACTGTTGCCTATGATTTCTGGGCACAGAATATTTAAATTCCATGATCTGTCACTACTGAGACACCATTTTTATGCTGGACCTCCAATTCCAACACATACTCTTCCCAACTCTGCTTTAACCTTCATTTCCCATAGCTATAAATATGATTTATGGCTAAGGCCTTTCCAGTTTCTCATCAGTCATTCTTTTCTAATACACAGACTTTCTAGTTCTCTAAATATATTTGAGTTACTGCTTTTCACTCTTCCTATCTACCATGTAATTTTACAATCTTGCTGTAGAAAGATGTGTGGCAAACTGAGACCAAAAGATACTTTTCTGTATACAGAAAAGTGGTGCTTCAGGACAAATTTTTTATGCCAGAAAGCAAAGGAAGCTATTTTTCCCCAAAAAGGCTGTTAAAAAGAGATAATGATATCTGCAGTAAATCCACTGTGGAAAAGATTAAAATTAAAATGGGTATTTTTAATAGGTCAATTTTAATATATGTATCGATTCTTTTGCTAATTTGATGGATTCATATTACAACAGCTTTACTTGTCATAAATCAACATGTTTAAAAGCAGAAACACTTACCTTTAAAGAAAACAAATTTCCCATCAGATCTCTCATAGGCAGCATCAATTTTTGGAGGAAGCCCTTTCCAGAACTGTTCAATCTGCATGGGGTAACCCTCCTGCACACGATTGTTCCGGAGACGCCAAAACCAGCGATCCTATAATAACAAGGACACGTCCTAAGAGTGTAGATCAGATTCCAAAATGAGAAGATGTGCAGTTACTGTACCTTTAAAATGTCACAACATCCTCTTTATCAGAAAAACTTGTTTTAATTACCTTTTAGAAGTTCTCCTCTGGAGTGCTAGCATTACAGTTCCCTTGAAACTGCTACTGTTATAACCTTGGTTTTCTACATGTGAAATTTACTGCAGTGTTCCTGTCTCTCCACACCATGCCATTTCACTTTCTTTACTCTTTTCTTTCACAGTGTGCTCCAAGATTTCTATAGCTCCCTATACTGTTTTCTGACTTGACTATTCTTTTTGGATATGTTACCTTTTGTCAACTGAGTGCTTCTCAAACAAAATGACATGCTGAGTTGAATGAATCCTCAAGGCTGGTCTAAGAGACTTTTGCTGCATGTGCAAAAGCACCAGCCAAGTTCTTTTGGCTCCTGTCCATCTCTTGCAGTAAAAATGTAATTGAAGGTTTAAACCCACTGCTGGCCTTATCTAGATTACATCCATTGTAATCAATGGTACTTCCATCAGTTGAGACTAACTGTTCCTATTCAGTTCAATGGCTCAAATCTTGTGGCACAAGTTATGAACCACATGACTGATTGTGCAATTAAATTACACAAGGCTGGTTCTTGGGCCATAACACCCAGCACACTTTCATGAGCTATACTATGTCACAGTAGAATGAACCCAGTTTCAGCCAATGGGTTTACTCTAGGTAGGCCTAATACTGGATTTAGTTCACAACAAATTAAACAAAATGTGGGCTTGTCCAGACTGGTTATTTTGAGTGTCGGATGGATTGGGCCAGAAAGGGTGTGTTCATATCATGTGTAGGCATCCTTCAGTCTCGAAAGACTATGGTAGTGTGCTCTGTATGGAGGACTTGGAACAGCGTCTAGTGTGGCTGAGGAGGCCAATTCGAGAGTTAGAATCTCTTCCACACTGAAGACAAATCCAATCTGCTGTTCATATCATAGGGTGGAGCAATGTACCATTTGGCATGCTCCTCTTGTCTGAATAGGAAACAACCCCTTGTAGCTCAATCAGCTGTCAGTTAAATGCTACCCTAATAATCTGCAGAGGGTCAGGGGAAGTGAAAGTATTGTAGCCAAAACTTTGGTCACAACCTGGGTTCAATCCCAGGTAGCCAGCATGAGGTTCACTCAGCCTTCCATCCGTCTGCTGGGCCAGAAAGGTACATGATAGCTCCTAAAGGTGAAGGGTGGATTCTTCTAAGCAGAAACACTTGTGGATGAAGTTTTTTTTCTATCAAAACTGTGTCATTAGTGATCTATATATTGTACCTGTATGTCAGTGTGGACAGGGCCTGTGTTGTCCTTTCACAGCACTCAAAATCATCTGCCTCACTGTAACAGTATGCCTGGGCTTGGGACACCTGTTTTTTTAATGGTTTTCTTAGTAATATTCACTTCCATATCAAATGCCTCCCGATCTTACTGCTGCTCTGATCCTTACATTTGAACAATATCCTACTATGGTGCTTACCCAGGATAACAGCTGATCAAACTCTACACAGTGGTTTTGTATATTAAAATTAAGATTATAATTTAAATATGAATTTTCTGTACATTTGAATAGGCTGTAAATCTTATATTTCCTCCAGTGATCAAGAAAAAAGTAAATGCTATTTCTTTCTAGCACATGTCAAACTGGAACACTGATGTTGTTTGACCTTTAAGCCTCAACATTCTGATGCTAAATACTTCATATAAAGCTTCAAAAGCAGAAACAACTTTTGAAGTACAGATCTTTCTGAGGTTTAGCATTGTTTTGCTGCAGTTGTAAAACCTTTCAGCAGTTTTTGAAAACTTCACAGGAAATCACAATGGCCCTTGTTGATTGGGTCTGCAGAGCAAAATGTCCAAGACTGTAAAAATGCAGCCCACAATACAGAGTTCCACATGTGTGTCAAAAAGAATTGCTAGAAAAGGACAAATGCTGAGAACAGGCACAAATGTCCCCATATATGCAGTGCTACATGTCACAGGTGCTTGGAATCAACTGAAAAACAAATATTTTTTGTCTTAGAACAGAGTGTAATTTAGCTTATAGTTTAGGTATTACTGATGGAAATTCTTTATGTTAAATACCACAGCAAATGCTCTTAGTTCTGGTCTTTCAAACAAAGAACAAAGCAAATCACTGTATGACTCTATGCACCAACAAACTTAACTGCAAAGGTGAAAGCACCAAATTATTTTGCTGGCAAGTAGTTAATTTTACATGCACTTGCAATATACAAGGTGGAATGAAAACAGTTCTGATAGGACAGCTTTTTACTACCTTAAAAACAAACATTTCTCCTCTGAAGAGAGCCACCGTATTAAAGTTCCCATCACAAATGTTGGGTTTACTGCCTGGAGAAGAAGGCCTGTCTCCTAAGGGAGGTCTAGGAGGTCTTGAATGTCTGTCATGTTTCCTTTCTGATGTGGAATGAATTCTACGAACAGGAAGGGTTGGTAAAGGTCTGGTGGGTTCCAGTGGCTCAGCAGGTGGACCTAAATAAAAAAGGAAAGAGGGATGGAAAAGAAGACTAGTAAGCAGTGTGGATATCGTACCTATTATTTCAAACAAAATCACAATCTTGAAAACATCTTTCCAGGTATTATCCTAAAATTTTTCCTTCCATAGTAAGGCTTCAGCACAACCCTCAACTTCCTGTCTAAATCAAGCCTCTCTGGTTACAAATCAATAATGTTATATTTTTCTGGTAATGCCATTAACCAATGCTACCCGATATTTCTACAAGAGTTGCACCACTCATTCATCGGTGTCTCAAAAACCATCCACATTTTGTCCTCTGCATTATTTATTTACATCAAATCAAAAGCTTATTCCGTTATGATCCACCCAAATGAATATCATAACCTCTTGGAATTATTTGATCCACCCTTATGTAAAGACTCCTCAACCTATAACCTTGTCTTGACTCCTGTTTCTAAAATGGACTGCTAACTCTGCCGCATAGATATCAGCTCGTCTTCTTTTGGAAGCTTATACACAGCAGGCTTCCAGAGCACACAATGCACACTGCATATAGGTGTACAAAGTCCCCCATTTAATATTTGCAGAACACTCTGATATGGCACCTTTGACCACCACCACCACAATATCCCTCTCCCATGTAATGGAAGGAGTAGGGTAACAATGCTGAAAGGAACAGTTCTCCTTTTCACTGAGTTCTTGTTTTGTTGCTCTTCCTTTTACTCCTAGTTTGAGGGGGGATGTCAGTAAAGCTGTGCATTCCAGTATGAGAGAGGGAAAATCCACGTAACTACATGAAAATGGGAAAAAAGGAGCAAAAGATCAAGAGATGGCAGGGCATCATTATAGGTGAATGAGTAGCCTAGTTGGGATTTGGCACTACAAAGAGTTGTGTTTAAGGACTGAGTCAAGCGTTCTTTTCTGCAATAGCATTTCAAGCAGTGTTCAGCCTGATATTCATTTTGAAAATGTTGTTACGGCTCTGGCACGACAGGAAGGAGGTTATGCTTGGCAGTATTACTGTTCAGCAACTAGTTAACAGATATTTGTGACACATGCAGTTATGTTTTACTTGGTGGTTACACTCAAAACAAAGAAACCAAACAGAGTTTCCCATAGCAGATGCAGTCACAGAAAGATTTTTAATCTACATTTTGCTGATCACCTTTGTGACCATTAAAGATTCCCTAGAGGGAATAAATACATTTGGTAAAATCCAGACGATTCCACTGAAATTGTCCTCTATTTCTGATACATCAGGATAGAGGGCATGTAAAGAGGCAATTTTAGGTGGCTTGCAGTTCAGTCTTGGAAAGCTTGCTTTTTCACAGGAAATAAGTCAAATACAGAACCTGAGCATCTGTTTACTTAAACAAGTGCCTGGTAATGAGAAATGAGTGGACATTATTTTAGCTGCACATTTTTAGCTGCACATTTTCAGTAATAAATGGTAAATAAGCACACCTTTTCAATCACCACATCTGAATATAACCTTTGTATATTTTGTATTTAATGTTTGTAATGTTTATATTTTGTATTTTATTGTTCGCTTGAAAATGCGGGACAAAATGGAGAATATCAATAAATCAGATAAACATAGGCTTACCGTAGATCTTCTGAATTCCTTGAAGGTCATCTTGTGGTAACTTAAAATTGTGCGTTTCCATGTACTGATAAAAAGGAGCCATGATGGCACTGGGGTCATTGGAGTGTTCAAGGCCTAATGCATGACCTAGTTCATGCACTGCAACCAGAAAGAGATCATTTCCTACAGAGGTAAGATGTATAATGATTAGGTTCTATGTCAGGACCACAGAACATGTGACCCTCACCTCCATCTATGGAACAGCAAGTGCCATTAGCCCTAGCCACCATAGCTGAGAGTAAGAGGTATGACTAGAAGTGCAGACCAACAACATCAGAGAGCCATCCATTCACCACTCTTGCTCTACAACATTAGGGCAATACTATCAGTCACAAACACCATATATTTTGAAGAATATTGAATATTTTGTCTCATAACTACAATGGTTAAGTGGGAGCACCTTTTAAAATGAAGCCGGGATATTCTTATCTAGTTCCATCAGGAACTGTACCTTTTCCTCATTATCATTCACTAATAAGGACAATATATTAATTTATATAGAAGTTAGCATTCTGTTCCTGTCTTTTTTTAGTTCTTGCAATCCATGAGCCTCAATACAGCATGACAGCCACCTTAATTTAAAGAATAGTTGAAAGCTTTATAACAAGCCTTCTCCAGACTATTCAATGATCTGCAATTGAGTTATGATGATGAGGGAAAAACATATTCTGATTCTGGGCATATTCTGAATTTCAACATATTTCCAAAAAATCTAATTGAGAATTTGTAACTGGCCACCAACATCTGGGTTAATTGTATGTTTTCCCTTACTAGCCATGCCAACACAAGCCTGTGTATCAAAAATATCCCTTTCTGTGCTGGGGACCTGTAGTGCTGGAGTTAATAAAACTGACAAGGTAGAATTTCCAAAAAAAAAAGAGAGGGGGGGGGGCTGAAGAGAAACATTTCTGAAAAGATGCATTTGGACAGCTGGATATTCACTCAAACAGGTGAGAAATCTCAAAAGGGTAATTTTTCATGGAAGTTATCACATAGTCTCACATGACATAGCACATAAAGAGTTAATGGAATGATTACATTGGGAGGTTTCATTTTATCTTTATCTTATTCTATATAAATGCTACCACCTTCTTTGTTTATTTTTAATATACATTTCCATTTATACTAACTAGACACAGAGTACTGCCTCCTTACAAGGTAAGAGACAGAAGCAAAATGTAAAAAATGTCATGACACCTATGACGAAATAACGGGTCATGGGTCAAGGCAGTTGGCAGGATTGCATTTCAGCTTTCAGTAGCAACAATTTGGTACATACTATAAGCACTACTTAAGTAACAAAACATTACATCTATTGTAATTTGTCAGAAATAACAGTACTATCATAACATCTGTGGTTTCTTGGATGGATCATTTCTACTGTAGGGCAAGTGAGCATTGTGAGCACTGCTCACGTCTAGGACACTGGGAATTACGTAGTTTGGTGCTTCATTATTCAGATGTACTGTATATACATATGGTGTTCCATATAGGCAAAAGCCAATTTGAGCTGCCAGCAAGCACAACACCATTCTAGTGACTGAAACAAGCCATATGCGAATTTTATGGATGATATATACTATTTTTGGCACCTTTAGACCATTTCTACCTTGCCTTATCATGCCATGGAGCAAGACAAATTATGAACTTCATCACATGTGAAAAAACAATAAAATGCAATGGTAAACTGAATTGCTGAAACAGACATAAAACTGAATAAGTACTGGTGCAACTACATTTTAAAATGTTGTATACTTATTTAACAGTATTATTTTAAAAATAAAATTTAAAAAACACTCAATATTTCATTTTGTCTTAGTCCTTGCACTACAGTTGAGCACTTAACATCCACTTATTTTCCTAAATTCTGTGTCACAGTCTCACATGGTGAGACTTCATATTGTAGTGTTAGCTAAATTAAGGCTATACCAGGGGTTTAAAAGATTAGTATTTCCATCATCAGCAAAATTAGAAAAGAACACACATTAAACAATTTGAGTATATTTATAGCATAAACCTCATTTGAAAAAGGACTATGCAGGACTTTCTTTACCAAAACGCCAGCAGTCGTATAGTTCAGATAGGAGAAGAACACACTCAAAATGTATTTTGAACAAATTGGACAACACTTTTTTTGAAACACAAAGGGCAAGTGAGATTATATTATCTTGCCCCATCTACCTACATTTCCATGTGAGACATTGCTACATATCACATGCACAGGAGTGACATTTAAATATGTTGTATATACCTAAAATCCAAGATCTGTAGTACCTCCATCTCTTTTATTCCTGTTTATCCCAAATCCAGCAATTCACAGGTGTGTCGAATTTTATTCAGAAGTTATACAAACACACAAGAATATTGCACACTTTCAGAAACAGATAATCAAACAATCATAGTGGCTGACCAGGGAAACAGCAAGAGAAAGCAACTAATAAAGAGAAATGAACTTGTAATATTGAACTCCAGAGCAAAATCCAATAGAGAAGATTTAGGAAGGGATAGAAATAAGTATCAAAAGAGCAGGATGCACAGAAAGGATGTAACGTGTGAAGAGCCAAACTATGTTAAATTAGGCATCATGTTATAAATGTAAGAATAATATAATAGTAGAGGACTTCCACCTCCAACCCAATCAAGGACTATTTCCCTTGCATCTGCTATTAAACAAATCATGACGTGATTTCAAGTGACAAATGTAGCAACACGTGTAGGTGGTCCTTAAAATTAAATGCAATTAAAGCATTTGATGTGATAATTACATAATCATAGGACCACTTTTTCACATCTTAGTACTCCATATAGGAAGTTCAGCTCCTGGTCTTAGAAAAAGCAAGTTTTTTTATTGTTGTTGTTTAGTCGTTAAGTCATATCCGACTCTTCGTGACCCCATGGACAAGAGCACACCAGGCTCTCTTGTCTTCCTCTGCCTCCCAGAGTTGGGTCAAATTCATGTTAGTCATTTCAATGACACTGTCCAACCATCTTGTCTTCTGTCGTCCCCTTCTCCTCTTGCTTTCGCCCTTTCCCAACATGAGGGGCTTGTCCAGGGAGTCTTCTCTTCTCAGGAGATGTCCAAAGTATTAGAGCCTCAGCTTCAGGATCTGTCCTTCCAGTGAGCACTCGTGGTTAATTTCTATCAAAATGGATAGACTTGTTCTCTTTGCAGTCCAGTCCAACCTTCTTCTATTAGCACTGTTTGAAGAAAATCTTTATGGGAAGCCACATAAATGGAACTGACACTTCTGAAAATCTACTGCTAATCTTAATTTTAAAAAATATTGTTATTGAAAAAAGAACTTAGGATCTTACCATCATGGTTAGAGTTTCCCAGTGTCCATGGCTCATCTGAGTCGAAATGAGTATCACCTCCTATTCCTGGTCCAGGAAAATAAGCATGGGCTAGGAATCCACCTTCTCCATCAAAAGGTGAACTATCACCATGAAAGCCAGAAGCAAAAAATATCATAATATCTGCCTCTTTCCTGTCACTTTTAATTTCATGGTAAGGAACTTCTTCAAAGGTGAGTGGAGTCACCCTCTGCCAAACATCAAATGCTTGCCTAATAGCTTTCCTGGTATCAAGCTCCCCAACCTTCGGCGTATAGTTGTGTACACTGTATGGGGAAAAAAAGAGATTTTATTAAAGGGGCATATTCTTTCATACTGACAAGCCTAATTTGGCTCTCAGGTTACCACAAGTACCATATTAAATTTTGAGCCCATCTGAGAATCTGTCATGTATACGTTAACATGTTTACAAGACCTTCCTCCATAATTAAGATATCCAGTTTCAACAATTGAACCATCCGAAGCTGTTGCAGTACAGAGAGACCTCCTTGGTGACAGCGATCATGGAGAGAACCCATATAAAATGAAAAGCTGTCTACAGTAACTCCATCTAGACCACTGGTCCCCAGCCTGGGGGTCAGGACGTGTGTGTATGTACTGAAATGTTTCACATTTTATCTGGAAGAGACAGATCTACAAAAAAAAATCACCCATAATTCTGTATTGTTACATTAATATCAATATATTAGGTTAGAATTATATTCTTAAAATCTTGTTTTAAAGTGTTCTCTTTACCTCATTAAAAATGCCATTTTCTGAAATGTGGCGGGGTGTGTGTGTCACAGGTTACTTGGCTATTATAGATGTGAGCACAGACTTGAAGAAGTATGGGAAACAGTGATGCAGACACAACATTTCATTTTTCTATTACCTACCTCAGAAGTTAATAGTACCACCTTAACTGAGTTCATACCATCTCTAGTCAAAAACCCTCACTGACATGAATAATGTGTAGGAAGGAAAGCATACAGTATATGAAAAGGTAATGCTTCTCTGCAACATGAATTGATTGCCTTCATCTGGATCACTGTGATTGGCATGCACAACTTAACCACAAACAGAATATTACAGAAAGAGTATTATCAGTAAAGGATAAGAATAGTTACTGTTTTTTAAGAGGAACTAAACAAACAAACAAACCCAAAACCACCATCAGTATTCAAACAGAGCTGTGAGAGGGAACTGAATGACAGATAATGAAAATAATGTATGCAGCAGAAAAGGGTGTGTGTGTTGTTAACAGAAGGTTACCTCAGATTTGAAGTAAGGTACATTGACATGAGGAAGAGACCGAAAGTTACTAGATGTTATGACACGCCATGATGTAATGTGAAGGGAATGAGCTGCAGCTAACTTTGGGCTTCCATGGTGTGCCCTCCCATCTCCTCCTCCACCACCACCAAATAAAAATGGAGTGAAAGCTAGCAAACTTCTCCTTTCAGCCTCTGCTGAAGGAGAACAGAAGACAGCATAAGCCTGAGGCTTGCTGCAACTTGCTCCCATCAGAATAAAGAATGAGTTGGTATATTGAAGCAAGTGGCCCACATATAGCCCCAAAGTTGTTTTGCATGAGTCCCCTGAAGCCTCAAATCTTTTTGGCAAAAAATGGGAGAACTGTGATTTCATAAAGAGCCTTGGGGAGTCAATTATTTTCCAAAAACCTCCCAGGGCCTTGGTTTAGCACACCCGCCCACAAGGACTCCCCATGCTTACAAGACTAAAAGCAACCTTCAGGTCATTTTTACATTTTCAGGAACAATCTTGTGTTGCTTTGAGTGAGTGTGCCTGATGGTGTGAAGACCCTCTGAAGCGCCCACACCTGCAATAAACTACAGCTGAGGAGTCAGTGTAGCCAATGAGATACAGCCAGAGAATGAAATTTACACAAATTACCGCAGGTACAAATGGTCTTGAAATGTCACTTCATACTAATTGGATACTTCTAGCCATGAATTTTTTTCAGCTATTTTTGTCTAGGATACACACCAGCATTTTAAAAATATAGACACAAAAGGAATGACATCAAGAGTTGCTTTGCAATAGGGGTAACTGATTAATGTGACTACATTTTCTTTTAAATTATTATTTAAAGCAGTAAATGTGATTGTAATCATTCGTACCAACCACTAGAGGGAATCATGACCGAACACTATGTTAGGACTTCACATATTAAACCATCGAAATACACTATAATTTACTGTGGAAATCCTTGGGGTTGAAGAATGGGTCAAAATGCTTCAAATAAAATATTCAAAACACATGTACAATATTGCTGCCTAATTTTTAACATTTTAGTTTCTAGCTAGAGTAGTTACATAAATGTCAACTTAAAATGGTTCAATTATATATATTTTTAATCCTACAAGGAAACAGACTTTAAAAAAAGAAGAAGGAAGAAGCCATAGAGAGGAAATTACACAAATAATAAAATTTAGGGAATGGAATGCAAATTACCAGGAGACCAAAGCATTATAAACCGTAGCCACTCTTCTGTACAATGGCTGTCTCTTGCCAGTTCTGTTTTATGACTCAATAACACTATTCTGAGAACACTGGTGCAATCCCCTTCCAACAACAAGATGTTGTCATTTTACTTGTTACCTTTGGACTGACAATACTGAAGGTATATACATTTAAAAAAATAGCAGCTCTTTAAGAACTTCAGAGCTCTACCCATAGCTTTAAGAACAACAGTATAACAAGTATTCGTGCATTAGCTGCATCTCTGGCCTTTGCCTAGCACTCCATCTGCTCATTCAACCTTTCTCCCATCTCAGTATAATAAATAGGCCTCTGCTTATCCCACAGCACATCTGAGAGTAGGACGGATAAAGGAAAGCAATGCTTTATACTTGATCGTTGCCTGGGGAGTTCCAGGAGGGAACTGACAACTCTATACGGTGCACATGAACCTCAAGATTAAAGGCAGTTCAGGAAGGAACATATGTCAGCTTTTAAGCAATTGACCTTAACAGAAATTCTCTCAACATCCAGACAATGTTCTTCTTATCTTGCTTTTCACTGCTTTCTTTCTGTACCTTTTTATCTCTCCCCAAACCATTAGTTTGTTTTTTCTACTGCTTTGTACTAGGGGGAAGAGTTTAGTGCTATGGCACTTCTTGGCAGTAGTATTAGCCAAGAAAACACACAGACACACCCCACCAGAACACTATCTCTCCCTCCCTTTTTCATACTTTTTTTTCTGATTTGTTCCTACTGAAGGGTCTGACGGACAGGCAAGGAGGAACTAAGGACAGGAAAAGACAGACAGAACCAAGTCAAAGCCAGAGATATTGCCATGTTATATGCCCCTATCTTCCATACTTCGGGGCTGAGCATGGGCTGAGAAAGTTGACTGCTTTTCCATGGGGCATGCTTCATTACCCACATAGATGAAGTGAAGAGAGGGAATCAAGGTGCAGGCATCTGCTTGGACTAAAGGATTTTGGAAGATAAGAACAAGCGGACCGAGAACTTCCTTTAGTTTGATCTAAATAATTTGTGATTGGTAATAATTGGACAACTGCAGGTTTAAGTGAAAAGAGAGATGCAGAGAGCTTCTGCTCTATGGACTTTCTTCACACCACATATAAATGTAGAAATATGTGCCATATGCCCCCCCTACAGTCCTTTGTTCTAAACAAAAAAAGCCCTTGAAGTTGTAACTTCATCTTATGGGAAAGCTGCTCTAGGACCTTGACCATTTGGTTGTCCATTCATTCACTTTTTTCTAACACCTCATAGACAAAGGAAATCATGCATGGACACTTGGTAGGTCACACATAAATCATACAGGAATTTAGGAAGCTTCATTTTGGTCCAACTTTAAAGCTGATCTTTTTCTTCCTTTTTTTTAAAGCTCAACAAGGCACATCTTAGCAATTGTTTACATTTACATTTGCCTCACAATAAGATCTGCCCTAAATGGAATCAATTTAGAAGTAACATGGTAGTCAAATGGTATTAGGGACAGAGTGTATGTCCTCTCAGGAAAACTTTTAATCCATTTTTAGGCTATGCTGTATCTTTATCGGGGGAACTACATTGGCTTTTAGAACTGATGCATTTTAGGCTTTGTCTTGTGTCTGCCCGTCCTGCCTTCATGCTGTCCACTTGCCTCTGGTGTTGTGGTGAGGTGAGGGAGAAGGAGAGCGAGGGTCTGCTGGCAAAACTTGTGCTTTTAGAAAGTTTGGCTGCTTCTGTCCCTTTAAGAATGCCCCTGCTGTTCCCTGAGAAGCACAGAAAAGCAGCATTTAGGAAAAGAGGTAGAGAGAGATAGAGCTGCTAGGGACTAGAAGGAGTTCTCTGCTTCCCCAGTCCGGTATCTCAGGCTTTCCTATTTTGCTTGCCAAGAAGGGAAATAACCTACAACAGGAGTGGGGAGCAGCTGTGAGAGAATGACTTGCTGTGCCCCCCTCTTCCTCTTAGACTCCCTATACTTGTCTGTTCCTCCGTCCTTTCCCCGGCTGTGGTTCTTGTGCTGTTGTCACTTCTCCCACTGCCTCTGTTGGCTTAGCAAAAGCAAAATTTGAAGCAATAGCGACATATGCAGGTATGTTTGAAACAAATTAGGTTTCACACACATGCTAAAATAAAACAACTCTCTGGCAGAAGGGTATTTTACATCACCTTCCAACCAGAAACCATGCTTCCATGGCAAAATGATCAATGCTCCCATTTACATCATGGAGACATCTTATTTTAAACTGCTTTTTTTTCAAAAGCAGAATGAGATACCACAACAGTTCTTATTGTCAGTGGTAGCAAGCCCTTAGAAATAAAACCACACAGCTATCTAATAAACAACATAATTTAAATAGAAATGTGGCATTCTCCCTGAAGGGAACCTGGTAATTACTTCTATCTTGCACATTTGGAATAAATTAAGAGAAAATAACCGCGAAATTCGCCTTCTGAGCTACGTTTAGAAGAAGCAATGTGTCAGACATTAGATCAAAGTCTGCAAAAGTAAAAGATTAAAGGGCTTTAAAAGGAAGACAAAGAGGTCATGTTGTCTTTTGTAGAAGATTTTGATCAGATGGGAAGGTCTTTTTTCTTCATATTTTACAAATTGGTTTTCTTGCAAGACAACATTCTCAGGGCAATGCAACTTGTTACTGAAAAAATACAGTAAAATGTTCTCTAATAAAATTGCACACCAAATTCAGGAGATAACAAGACTTGGAAATTGTATATTCAAACTACTGTACATCTTCTCTTTCCAACTTTAAAAACCAGATAGTGGCTAAAACATATCAAGTTATAGAGAACCTCATGTTCCCAAACATGTACATTCATTCTACTATTTCCTTAAACTTCTACACAACGTGCAGAATGAAAAGAGAAACCACGTCCGTAATGTCACTCCAGCAAAAGCCACCGGTGGGGGGACACTCAGAAGAGAAAGGAATCAAGAGAAGTGTAATGAAATTAGTACCGATCACGTATCTGTCACTTTCAAATATATGTGTGTTTTCTCATTTTTATTGAGAGCCAATTTGTGAGTTAGGCTGTTTTCATTTAATTCAAACCATTTTAGCAGCTTTCAAGACCATAGCCTTCTTCATGTATCAGACAATATAATATTTTTTAAAAGAGGCTTTATTTGATTTTTAGTCATTGAAAAATAAATATGTGTTTAATTTGCAATTGCTCAAGCAATGTGTTGAAGTCCCAGCACAATGGGAGGGAAAATTTATTTTCCTTACTATCTAGTCCTATGGAGTTATCTACCAAGACTAAATCAGAAATCTATTCCAGTTCTCATTGTTATGTGTACCTTCTTGATAGGCTGATATATTTATTTATTTTTCTGTGAGATATCAATGTTCTAAGTGTTAAAACTCTTGACCTGAGGTTCACCTAAGCCTACGTGGCTTTTTCTGATTAGAAGACTCACCTCCCCTTCACTGCCCTCTTCTGATCCTGCAGGGTTAAACAATGGGAACCATCCACTACAGAAATCTACTGAACACATCCCTTAAAGTAAGCTTTAGATTACTGTACCTTTAAGACATGAGAACTCGGTTTATGCAAAGAAGTTTATACTGGGGAGGGCAACTTTCCCTGAGTCAGTGGGCTACCTCTGACTCCCAGGAATCTATCAAGGATTTCACCACCAGAGACAATCCAATTATCAAATCTGATATACTCCAACTGCAACTGCCTACTGTGGCAGAAAATTGTACTAGAACATACGACAGAACCCTGCAAGAGCATCTACATCTCTTCCTGAAATGAAAGAAAGGGAGGAGAAAAGCCGCCATGATTCTGCTGACATGGATGCTGCTGGTGACCTCAAAAGACGGGTGGTGTGTGTGTTTTATATGCTACCATGTTTTATATGCTCCCTTATCTTTATCTCTCAGTTCTAATCCTAATGATGCTTGTTGATTTGGAAGCTTGGACTTCGCATAGTTTAGACAACCCATTGTTCTTTCTCTTGCATGCAAGACTTTTCCTGCTATATACTTTAAACAATCAGAAGCAAAGAGAAAAGGCTGATCTTAGTGTTCTCAGCAATAACAAGAGTTAGCTAGTAGTTTGCTCCTTTCCTGGTTGAAAATTAAACTACAATTTGTGGAACTCTTAATTCAAAAATTAGGATGAAATGAAGGATCATGGAAAATATAAATGGGAATGCCATAGGATGGGTGGCTGGGACTGGTAAGAGGGGCCAGGCAAAGCAACATTAACATTGTTCTGCCCTGAAAACTAAAATAAACTCATTTGCAGATGACACATTGTTGACAGTAGGAAATCCAGGAGCAGCTACAGAGAGAATCCAAACACACCTAAAGGAATTTGGGGAATTAAGTAGATTATTAATAAATAGGAAAAAGATCTGAAATTGTGTTATACAATTATTCTAGAGAGAAAGTAGAAAAAATGAAAGACAAGTTTAAATTCAAAGTGACTCAAAGTATTATATATTTGGGTATAGATCTCAGAAAAATATCCAAGATCTAAATAAAACAAATTTGGAAAGAATAAAGAAAGAAATAAAAGATTGAAATTATCCTGGTTTGGCAGGACTGTGCTTTGCAAAATGAAAATATTACCAAATTTTAATTTTTTGTTTTGGATAATCCCCCTTAAATTTTCAGAACAGGAATTAAAATATATACAACGGATAATAATCATGTACTGGAGGGAAGAAAGCAAGGATAAATAAAAAGATTTGGTATTTACCACAAAAAAGAGGAGACTGAGATTACTGAATATTAGTAATTTTATGAAGCAAATCAATTGAGAATGATCCCGGATATTATAGTATGAGTGATGAATTAATATGGAGTGACATTAAATTACAGTATAGGAATTATATGAATTGAGAGACCCACAAGAGACATATTGATATAAAAAGACCATTAAAAGTATCATTAAAAAGATTCAGAATCCTTTTCTAAATAATGTACTTGAGATCTGGAATAAATGGAGACAGGTTTTGTGTCCTGGAATCTCCCCTTGAATGCTGGTGGTTGAATTAGAGAATATTTCAAGATATGTCTGGAAGGGATAAATGGAATGTTGGTGTAAAATATATAAATGTATTTTATCAATTGCTCATCCCCGAGTGCACTACTGCTTTGTTTTGTTTATATTTTTCTTTTTCATATATGTAAACAAAATAAAATTTAATAAAAACATTATTTTAAAATATTGTTCTGCCCTCTTGTCATAATTTGTAGGTTGTAACTGAAGCATATATAATTTGTGTGCAATCACCATTTATTTGTTGTATAAGTTTAGACTATGTGTGCTGTAATGTTTTGTGGAATGTGCACAGGAGTCACTGAAGTAGCAAATACTGTGGTATAAAACTCATACAATACTCAGGTCTAGGTTGGAATAATTTTCTGAGTTTGAGACTCACATGGTGCCTGAATGAACATGGTATGCATCAGCCACATCTGAACAGCATTTGAGTTTCTACTCTGTTTTTAATTATAACATACAACGGGGAAAAATAACCCAGGTCATGTAGCAGAATATGAGCAGATAATCAGGCAAATTGTTTTACATTATACTGACACCATGAAACTGCAACAACTATTTATGTTGGATTATACCTGTATGTGATATGTTTCTGCCTCCATTTTTGTCCAGTTAGCGCATATCGCTTACTCCTTCGTTTATGGCTTAGGTGGGGATGATCAGGAACACCACAACGAGGTTTCTTCATCCATCTAGAAAGTAAAATATCCCCCATGAATTTGGAGAATATGATACATGATATGGTTATGAAGCTATGCTGTTTTGTTTTGTTTGGTAGTGCAGCTATAAACAAGGAATGCTAATTGACAAGCAGTTGAAATGAGCTAGGTAACACAGGCCATTCCTTTTTGTCAGAATGATTTTTGTGTGTGTTTAGAATACTCTGCCAAAACAGGATAAAGATATAGTATTGAATGGGCCAGAGCAGGAAATCTGAGTTTTTAAAGGTGGCTAGAGGGACTTGCTGTTGCTTTTGGAGGGTGGAGATATTTAAAACTGGGCATCACATTTATTTATTATTTATTTAATTTCTATACTGCCCATCTAACCGGAGGCAACTTTGGACAGTTTATAATATAAAACAAAAGACAAAACAATAAGCAAAACATCAATACTAATATAAAAACAAATACAACACAATAAATCATAATCAAATACAACAGTACATGTACGTACATATGCTACTTCTCTCATCTGCTCCGTTTTGTTTATGAACAAGTTCAAGTCACAGTATCTTTCCTGTATTTTCTCCCTCCACAAGGAAACATCAAAGGGATGTCTCTGCAACCTCCAATGCCATAAAGAAGTGGGAAATATGAAACAATATTTTAACACTGATTTGAAATTATGAGTTCATAAAGGAGAAGCCTGGATAGTGGCTTCTATAGCCCAAACCACTCATCTCAAGAGCTTTAATGAAGCTTCTTCCAGATTGAGACAGTTTGGCACTACCAGTCAAAAAGCTGTGCCGATATTCCACTTTTTCCTCTTAAACAAACTTTTTGTGGTAAGAAATACAGATGAATTACAAATGGAATACAGTTATACAGTATTTCGATCCCCACAAAATTTTGTGATTTGAGGAAAGATGATTCCACATCAAAAGCCCTGTATCTGTGGCTGCATCTGTGGCTCTGGGACGTCCTCCCATGGGAGGCCAGGCTGGCCCCACCCTTGCTGTCCTTCTTCAAGCAAGCAAAGACTTTTCTCTTCAGGCAGGATTTTCCTTCATGACTCGTAGTCTGAGAGGGATTTTAAATGGACTGCAGTGCTCTCTTGTTTGAAATGTTGTGATCAGGTTCTTCTCGTGGCGCAGTGGTTAAACTGCTGTACTGCAGCCAAAACTGTGCTCACAACCTGGGGTTCAATCCCAGGTAGCCGGCTCAAGGTTGACTCAGCCTGCTATCCTTCCGAGGTCGGTAAAATGAGTACCCAGCTCGCTGGGGGGGGAGGCAATGTGTAGCCTGCATAATTAACTTGTAAACCACCCAGAGAGTGCTTGAAGCACTATGGGGCGGCATATAAGCAGCACACTTTGCTTTGCTTTTTGCTTTTTTCTAAAGCCGGAGGCGGTCCCCTCGTTTGGGCGGGAATAAGAATCAGAGGCGGTTTTAAAAATTGAACAGAATCCTTTTTATTCTCAGTAACAGCGACGTTAACCAACTCAAACAGATCAAAGGCGCTCAAATCAGGTAATATCTTATAACTTTGAACCTTCACATCTGGAGTACATATGTCACTCCTCACATCTGGGCCGGGCCAAAACGCTCCTGATCGGTCATTGCCCGCAAGGGTGTACTCCTGACTGTGCAGACCGTTCAGCAGCAAGGGTGTCTTGCCCAGTCCGCTTCGCATGGTGGCCGGTTGAAACAAGGACTGGGGCGAATCACCCTCCTCCCCCCACACTGATTACGGGGATAGACCTCTACAGTTGATTCTAACGGGTCAATTTTTGCAGAGTCAGGTTTGGTTCTAGGAGGATCAGGGAGTAAGCCTCTACCTGTCCTAAGGTTGGGAAACTCCTCTACCAGACTCCTGACCTTATCTGTGTCCTCCTCATCTTCAGTCTGTACAGCACAATCCTTTGTGCGCCTCCCAATCATGTCTGTTACAACCACAAACTTTCGCTCCTGCTCCTCCTCTTTTATATCCTCCTCCCATACAATAAGGTCTAACTCCTCCCCTTTATCATCTGCTAAACACACTTCCAGTGTCTTCCTCTCTTCCTTTCATCCTTCTCTATTTCTACAAGACTCCTTCCACACATCCTGAGTCCTCCTTTGTAGCCTGTTTCGATGAGGACAGCTCACTAACTCCTCCTTCACAAATGTGTTTTAATATTGATCTTAGTTACCATTTTAATATAGTACTAGTTTAATTTTAACATTTGTATACTTATGGTTTAAAATTTTAAATACTGTTTTAGTGATGTAAGCAGCCTTGGGTCCTTTTGGGGAGAAAGGTGGCATAGCAATATTTTAAATAAATAAATTGTATGAAACATCCTTAGTAGGTGAGAATAACAACATAATTATCCTGTGTACTGACTGAAGGAAAGAACACAGAAAAGGCTGCACTCATATGACTATCTCTTCACAAATTGGTCAAGATGAGTCTCAATTTAGTTCAAGTGACATATGTGCTGAAAGAGCATTTTCTCTATGTATATAGAATAGCTCATAGTATACAAGTGCAATATCTCTGTGCAGATAAGATCTTACCATCAATTTTTAAAAAGCCATTAATAATCAATTTGTTAGTATTATGTGTTGCATATAAGTCAGTTGTTGGTTTATAAGATACAAACGATACACAGATATCATGCTTGTTAAACCAATTTAGTTAAACCAGTGCAAATCCCTGTATGAATACTCTTAGTTTGGATTTAACATGGATTATGTCAGCATCATCTGGTTTCTAGTTAACTCTCTTTAGTGAGAAAATGGACTTGGTTGGCTATTTAACCCAGGGAAATATATAAAAGCCACATGCAGTTACACAGGTCCTCATTGTATAGGACACAGGTAGGCAAACTGTGTCCCCCTCCAGATACTGTTGAATTACAGTTCCCAGCATTTCTCACCACTGGATATGTCAATGAGGAGTGATGGCCGTCTGAAGACCCACACCTTGTCCTCCCCTATTTTACAGTCTGCACAGCACTCAATGTTGATTTTGACAAACACAATGCTTTCCAGGTATTTGTAAGAAAACAAAAACAAATAAAAAAACTCTTACTCAATAGTGGTCTGGTCCAAAACTCCTGTGATGGGGATGCCATAAAACTGCTGCATAGTGGAGACTGCAAACTGCATAACTTTTCCTGAGTGCAGAGCAGACATTCGGGTGTCATAAGGAAACAGATAACCGTATGTTTTTAACCAGCTCTGAAAAATAACATAAAACAAAAACAAAGCTTACAACATAGTCTGGTTTGACATTACAGCACACTTTGTTAGTTTAAATGTGCCATTAGCGTCAAACTTTGTGCACATTGATTTTCTTGATCTGTCTTGACTACATGGCATCTTGAGAACAAAAAGACAACATAAGCAAAACCTCATTGCAATAAGCGGCACTGGCTTGCTAACTTCGCGGAGGTCACTGAATTGCTGTCTGTGTACAAATTTACATATTTTGTCTGCACACAGATCATTAATGCCCAGATTTAAATTTCAGCTGATGTGCTTATTTTAACTATATGCCAAGTAGTATGTGAAGAAAAAAAGATTCCTGTATCACAACTAGAATTCAGAAACCGACTTTGGAATGTATTCCAAATGTTTTAGTAGTGATACTGTTAGTCTGGTGAGTTATTCTTAAAAATTTGAAATACTGTAAATGTATTTAAATATGACCAATATCTGAACATAAACCTCTCCCTCATATCAAGCAATCTAACTCAGCACTACTTGTTCTAACTGTTAACAGGCAGAGGTAACTGTATATCCTGGGAGAAGAGCCAGCCTGTGTAGTCTTGGGCAAGCTGCCAGTCCCAGGGCACCCCCAGAAGAAGAGAATGATTAACCACTTCTGTACAGTATATTCCCTGCCTAGAAAACTCTGACAAGGGTCACCATAAGCCGGAATTGACTTGATGGCATGCAATTATTATTAGACAACTACACGTGAGTCAAACCCACGTCTACTTTAATTATACAAAAAAGAGAGTAGAGTGAATTTAAGAACAAGAGGGACATACAGAAGGAGATATGGAATTAGCTCTTCTCTGACCCCAAACTGCACAATGTTACCTTGGAATGTATCCCCAGAACTGGTCCCCTGCCTCCCAGCTAGACTCCAATATGTGGTCCTATTCACGTTCCTTTTAATTGAAGCATAAACTGTCTCTTTTTTCCTTTATGAGTATGCCATTATATTCCTCAATTTTCTTGTGGGGGCTTGTGCCCATGCACCAGAAATGAGTGGGTGGGAGAAGATGCTGATTGCCCCAGGTGCCAAAATTGCCAGATATGGCCCTGATCCTCGCTCAGGGTTCAGCAAACCACTCATGCCCTCTTCCTTTGTATTCCTTTTCATTCCACCTACTATCCTTCCCTCCCACAAAAACCCTAACGTTGTTTTCTTTGTCTTTTTCTTTTTAACTCTGCAGACCTGGAGTTCCTGAAAGCCTGCTGACATTTTCTTCCTGTATATAGATGGTACCATCTAGCTACCTAAGGACCAGCACTGAGTTTGTTACTGATATTTAAAATTCTACACAAATCTGTTAGTGTAATATTATAACTTCATAGATAAATAGCTTTGAGGAAAATTAAGTTAGCTTGAAAGTATGTTAGTTCTGCCTTGAAAGCAAGTTATAAAGCAATCTTAACTGCTGTTGCTACCTATGTATCCCACAATAGGCTTTACCAGCATAATGCCCGTGGAGGCTGCAAATTCTGATGGCAGGGTGTTTGCAGACCTGTCAATCATTGAGGAGAGACCACAGGTTAAATAAAATCAACATATTTCCAATGCAGCAGTGAAATCACAGACCATAACACCAACAAATCATAGAACTATAAACTTGTAGAGTTGGAAGGACCCTGAATGGTAAACCAGTCTACATTCCAGCAGTGCTAAGAACCAATTGCTGAAACATCCCGGACAGAGGCCACCCAACATGTATTTTAAAAGCTGAAATGAAGGCCAGTCTGCCACTTTGCAAGTTCTCATTGTCTGCAAATTATTTTTAATGTTTAATCTGAATTTTCTTTCAAGCAATTTGAATTCATTGATGAAAACATTAGCCCTCCTTTCTTGTCTACATTTCTCTTTCTTAGACTGGACCTCTAAATCAGGCAGCTTGAAGCATCCTAGAAGACTGTGAGAATCAATCAATCAATCAATCAATCAATCAATCAATCAATCAATCAATCAATCAATCAATCAATCAATCAATCAATCAATCAATCAATCAATCAATCAATCTATCTATCTATCTATCTATNNNNCAATCTATCTATCTATCTATCTATCTATCTATCTATCTATCTATCTATCTATCTATCTATCTATCTATCTATCTATCAATCATCTGGCAGCCAAGGTAACTCTGGATGGTATATATACACAATCTCCTTCTGACATAAGCAAGATAAGAATCTATAAGTTTTCAGTTTGGGAGGACTAAGGCTATGACTTGCTGAACCTCATGAGTTTATGGTCTTGATCAAGGATGGGGAGCTTCCTGATTCAGCCTGAGGGTCAAACTGTTTGGGAAGAGATGTTTGGGAAGAGTGGGTGGGTTCCAGTAATTCATGCAGCGAAAGGTAAACAGGTTAAAAAAAACCTAGCTTATTTTAGACTAAAGGTCTCTAAAATGTCCAGTAACAAAGCCCCAGAAGAGACATTTCACATTTTTATAATCGGAATTAGCACATGTAAATGCTTGGAAGCCAACACATGGTAATGTGAAGGTTGTGTGACCTTATGAGGCACATGAGAAGGCTGGCATGGGGCCCCTTGAGGGATGGCAGCAGTCCCTGAGCCAGAGGTTTCCTACATCTGGCTTAGATTAACGCTTTCTTTTATGCACTATGTGAGCATCTTCCATCTCTCTGCAAGTGAACAGGTTACAGCCATTTTTTAATCCTTACCCAAGTGAATTACTTGCATTGACCCCATCGGAACTCCCACACATTGACTGAGGATTATCAATAGGATTTCAGTATGGGTTAAACTTACATATTTTGCATTTCCTCAAGCCCAATTTATTTTCTCAATCCAATTCCAATACCACCCCAATGGACCAACCTACTGACCACCAGAATGTGTCCCTTCTGCTATCAGTGCCATGACTCACCAAAGAAACTGTACGAAGCATTTTAAATCGGAAATACATTCACTGGCTGGGACAGAAATGCATCCTTGAAGCAAAAAATTATATTTGTTGGGAAAAGTTTTTGTCTCAGTCAGTTTTTATCTGAAAACAAAACAAAAACACTTTATGTGTGTGGTAAATAGCTGAAATTTAGGGACACTGCTCACAAATGTTCAGGTGACATTACAGAATGCCTACATTTCCACTCTAGCTCTGTGTGGATTCTGCAACAAAGTATGACTCCGTGACCCAGCTGGCTATGAAAACCAGAGTTTGGAAACTACCTTCCAGTGTGTGCAGCAATAGGATAGGTGGTAGCAGCCAACACATTCTCTAAGTACAGTACGTATCTCTTGTGTTTGCTTGAAAAGTGTTCCAGCCTAAGGGAGAGATTCTGTAAATAGTGGAAGAGAGGTATGTTGGCCCAGATAAGTCATGAGATGCTGGTGGTGATAGCAGAATGTCCCCATTGTGAAAAGGTCAGAAAACACTTGGTACAGGATAAGGTCTGTTCACATATGAAAAGCACAGAAGCAACACTGAGGCAAACAAGAAAAGAGTAAAAGCCTCACATAGCCAGTTCCCTCAGTCAGCTCTCCTGTTCAGTATTCCAGATTGTTTTCATAAACTTGTCCAGACAATGAGGATGAAATGAAGCATTACTTTCAACATACAGTATTGTTAAAATACCATGCTAGACTTTGCCTTTAGAGTCAATGGGTTTCACAGGCCTGGCTGAAGTCTCCTCCAATAATTGCTATGCTTCAAGTGGGAAGACAACTATCAGGGGGCCCTTGTTTGACCCCCTAAAATGTTTTCTCCAGCTTTCCCATATTCTGGTCGTTTGGGTTCTACTCAGATTCTGAGCTGCCTTACTCTAATTCGATCCCTGCTGTTTCAACACCCAGGTTGCCCAAAATCCATTTTGCCTCCCTTTGCTCAGTTCAACAACTTGCTTCATCCCTGCAACTACCTCCTAATCTAAGATTTTGCACCTGAAATGTCATGGAACTGGATGTTACTAATGTGGAAATGGAAACCCTAACCTGACGTGCCCCCTTCTTAACAGGAAGCAGCTGCATGGATGCAGGACTGAAGGGGAAGGTATGTCTCTTGGGATCTTCTCATTTCCACTATTATTTTCCCATCAAAAGACCTACTGAAGATATTCGACACAGAAGGATTATGTCCTGTGATGTTACAGCAATTATTACAATAAATTCTTTTTTTGGACAGCATAGTTTCCCTCTCCATAGGGAAGAAATCCCTTCCCTCTCCTCCTGGAGTCCCTCAAAGCTTACTCTGGAGATCTTTCAAGAGCAAATGGGAGTGCAGCAAGTGGCTGCAGGGAAAGGGTAAGAAGGAAAGTTTCACTGTGTAAGCAGAACTTTTATTTCATCATCAGACTGAGTTCAGATTTAGGTACGTGCAAGGAGACAGGTAGTAATGAACTTCCTTTTCACAGTAGTCCCTGCAGTCCCTGAAAATGCTGCTCAAAGGATCAGAGGACACCACTGAGTAAGGTGAGCTGTAGTGATGGTGTCCCACATTAGGCAAAGGGCTTTTTATTTTATTTTAACATTTTCAGACACCAAGAATACATCAAATAGTTCCTGTTGAGCATCTCTCCTACAGAAACGCTGCCCCTTCCACTCTATCTCCCTTGGCTTTGCTGCTGTGGGTGGCCACACCAAGTTGAGGCAAGGAAAGCCTCAACTAGAATGTGGGCCTTCTTGGTTATGGCCCCCACTCTCTGGAATGGCATTTCATGAGACCTGACAGATCTCCTCCCTCTAGAGTTTTAAAAAGCAACTACTGTAAAAACTTTGCTATTCAGGAAAGTCTTTAAGGATATTCTCCCCCTTCGTAAGTGTGCCTTTCAACTCCGTGCAATCTGAAGGCTGTTGCCCTCACTTGGTTACTCAGTTTGTCTACTTCATTTGTTTTATGAGTTTGATGATGATGGGACATGATTGGTGGAGGGGTGTTAAGGTTTATATTACATTGCAATGATCACCCAGAACAGTGGTTCCACTAGGTTTGGCAGAAAAAAGCATTCTG